ATTATTTGTCTTGTCCGTTACCTTGCACAACAACCTTATTTTTTTAAAATATTTTTATTCTTAGCTCGGTCACTTCAAATAGCTTTGGATCGTGGTAGTTGTCCTGTATGGTCATTATGTGAGTCATGGGTTCGGTTGTGTAATCATTCTTTGTCCCTGTCGCAGTGTTCGCAATATGTTATAGTTTGTGAATAGGCTAAGCGTAGTTGAACACTATCCAGTCATACAGACACTATTTCTTATAGCCTACTGTGAGGGTATCTACAGCGAAGTATGTGGGAATACGAGCTAGCACTAACCTGCGTCTACACACGACTTGTATACAATTGCATTGAAGTGGCAGTGACATATCTCTTACCTTGGGCATCTGTTTGTTTTAGGGTTAGGGTTTAGCTATAACCCTAAACCCTAACCCTAGTGACACATCTCTTACGTGGGTCATCTGTTTGTGATTCTCAGCCTTTCGCCACGTCCTGATATGAGCACACACACGAGTTGTACACATTACCCAACACTTATCGTTAAGACATCATTAGCGGCTGAACCCCCGAGGTTGTCGGTGTGGTGTGTGCGCCCACACCTGCGTTCACTGGGCTTGTGTAGTCTCACTCACCACGTTGACATCAGACCCAGTTGAGTTGCTTGCGTATTGTAGTCATGCGCATACGATAGACAGAGAGTGGGCAGGTGCCACTGCTTTGTCTAGACATGCACGCTTCACGTAGTCGATTTCCTAGACGAAAATGATCTGCTCACCACCCAATCACATTCCTCAGAATGTTATTGAACGCACACGCCTATTCATATCTGATATAGACTGGAGTGTGGTTGGCTGGCACGAGTGTATGTCATGGTACTGCGCTTGGCGGACCACAGACACCCCTTGCAAACACGACACTCACGGAAACGTCTCAGATGCATGCTCGTGTTAGCTGAGGTGTTGCTAATGCCACGGTTGTTGTGCATGGCTATCGTTGCAGAGAAGAGTGGGGGAGGAGTTGTCAGTGGCGGCGACGGTAGCAGCAGCGGCGGCGGCAATAGCGGCGGTAGTGGCAGCGGCGGTGGAGCTCCTGCGCCACGTAAGTCAGCACCACCTTGTGCCGCTCCCTTCTGTTCTGTTGTCACACTCGTTTCAGCGCATGCCTCTTATCTCACGCTGTTTGGTGAAGGCGTGGTGTGCATTTGTGGTTCGGGTGTCGTGTATATCTCCCGTGTTGCTGCGTATGGGGTGTGTGTCTTTCCCATATGCTCATGTGTCGCTCTCCCGTACCAGCTGTGTGTCTCTCTAGGTGCGTAGATATAGAGGGTCTGTGTGTGTATCCGGGGCCTGTGCGTGCAGCTAGGGCTTCACGTATAAGTACGCGTCAATGGTTTGGTATCTTTTATACGCAAACGCACACATGGTTGGATATGTGTGTCTCTGGTGCGTTAGATAAGTGTGGACATGTGTTGCAGCGCAAGCCTACAACTGGCGAGAAACTGTGACATGCAGCTCTGTGTGTGTGTATGTGTGTGTGTGTGTGTGTGTGTGTGTGTGTGTGTGTGTGTGTGTGTGTGTGTGTGTGTGTGTGTGTGTGTGTGTGTGTGTGTGTGTGTCGTGTAGTGTGTGTCGTGTGTGTGTGTGTGTGTGTGTGTGTGTGTGTGTGTGTGTGTGTGTGTGTGTGTGTGTGTGTGTGTGTGTGTGTGTGTGTGTGTGTGTGTGTGTGTGTCGTGTGCGTGTTGTTATATATATATATATATATATATATATATGTATATAGTCGCAGATCTACGAAACTTTTCCGTAAATCTACGAATCCACGGTGAAGATCCCATATCCAGAACCAAAGCATATATATGCCCATGCCACAAGCAGAAATATCGTAGCGCTGAATTTTTCCAATTGATTGTTATGCCAACAATCGAATTCCACCGAATTGTAGGCTCGCATACGCACACGCGTAGCACACGCATGCTCACAAACCAAACACATGTATCTGCACACAGCTGAACACATACTTTACGCACAAGTAGGACCTGGCTGGCACTTGCGCAAGAATTCGTTCGTAGCACCAGCGTATAGGCTGCAAACAAACCGTGCATAGACTGACTGTGCATGACAGCCACACACCTTAGGGTCAAGCCTTGCGGATCTGTTATACAACGCAATAGCTTCTTGGAGATGGGCTTTTGACGCGTCACTCTGGAAGGCCTCTGTCTCAGCCAGTTTGAGATGATACGCGGCGAGAGAGTTGATCCCCAGCACCTGTAATGGATATCCATCAGATGAATACGGCGGAATATATAACAATACATAGACTGCCTACTGACTATCGAAGATGGTCACCCAAACGCATATGAGGGCAGAACGATGTACTCGAACCCGAGGATAGCGCCAATGACCAAAGCATATACATATCATCGGTTAAACCACTAAACCAATTGCGAACGGGTAAAAAAACCCCTTCAATGATGCATCCCCGAATTCAATACTAAAACGTCACCACCTTAAGCTGCGGTGTTGCTTCGTAGTCATTCTCGGTCGACGGGTCGGTTGCCGTCTCGAGAATGTACTTGAATGCCTCGTACTTGTGTTGGAGGTAGTACTGTTGCGCTAGGTCGATCCAGGTCTGGTGGAGGTGACGATGTGCAAAAATAGAGGGATTGGTGGTTTGGGTTTACCAGTAGAATCAGAGGCTGATATAATGACATAGAAGGTGTTCTGGATGCATATAAGTAAAGTATACGTACAAATGTACCCTGACGCACGTTTGCGTGTACAAGTTCATATTTTTTGGCGTGCATGGTACACTCCACTTGCATATGTCTGCACATGTATGTGTATACACGAACATGAATATGTAATAAAAACAACCGCGTATCAAAACAACAAAGTTAGTAGATACAGGGGAAGTACAGTGTATAATATTGTATTCATGCATATATATATATATATATATATATATATATATATATATATATATATATATATATATATATATATATATAGTAGTATATATATATATATGTGTGTGTGTGTGTGTGTGTGTGTGTGTGTGTGTGTGTGTGTGTGTG